TGGCCTTTCTTATGGGTGTTATTTTATGATATTTGCTATATATTTCAAATGTAAAAATGCCAGCCATTTCTGTTCGATGGGATTTGCTACGCTTTGGCGCTGCCGTTGTTCTGGTTTTTTGATTGGACTCGAGTCTGGAAACTAGAGTTTGAAATAAAGGCAAGATGAGACTTGATTGTTTAAACATTTAACAAGAGACACTTCAGGGTTTCAGATAAGGCAGCCTTAAAGACAGTATAAATTAAACAAAGGTGTGTCAAAATTAAGCAAATTTCCATAAAGGTTCAACCACATGTTTCAAGAATGATTTCAATTCAAAGATGTATTGATGGGAATGAACACTACTCTATGTAACTAGAAATAACTTCTTTTAAAGGACCACAGACGGTATCGCAACAGATTTCAGTCATATATTGGATTTTGGCTATTTTCTGAGGATTTGAACAGGTGCATATGTTAGGCCAATGCATTAACTCCAGGACAAGCAGTCATAGAGATTATAAGATAATTTTGACTTTAAGACAGGAAAGGTGCAAACACCCCATCAAAATGTTTTTCTAGAATGTTGTCCTGATTTCCAGCCCTTTCCACACCTGCTTTTTCAATGTTTGTTGCATCGATCACTACGTTGCGTTTCGAGACATGGTTAACATCTTTAAATGAAAATATGATTCATGCAGGGGTTTTAAAGATATCAATTTTGGATGACCAAAATTAAGCTGAAAGGATCACATGAGTTTTCCCTATGAGAAAATAACATGGGAAATATTAATAATAACTTAAGTTCATTTACTTCAGAGTAAAATGTTTTATTTTCGACGTTTCGCTAATCATCCAACTAGCTTTATCAAGATTCAAAATGGAAGTACACAGCTATATTATTTATGACGTAATAATTAGCGAAACGTCGAAAATAAAACATTTTTACTCTGAAGTAAATGAACTTAAGTTATCATTAATATATTACCAGAGTGATGAATTTACACAGAAATGGGAAATATTGTTTTCCACTTTATCCCAAATGAATCATATTTTAGAGGTTAACTGTGTCTCAAAACTGTGTCTCAAAGTGCAACATATTGGTGCATCAAACATTGAAGAAACATATGTGGAAATGGCTGAAAATCAGGACAACATTTCAGAAAAACCTTCCCATTCTCAAAATCCAAATTATTTTATTACCTCTATGAGTGCTTGATCTTGAGTTAATGCATTGGCCTAACTATATGCACCTGTTCAAATCCCCAATAAATAGCCGAAATCCAACATATGACAGTTTGAAGACCAAATAAACAGCTTTTGCTATACTAGCATTGGGATGCTTGTATTAAAACATGCTCTGTATGAACACTTTATACTCAAATATTTTAATGATTTATCCCACATACCCCAAAACACGAGTAGCCATAGTCACCTTATTTTTCATCAAATTAGTTAAGAAGAGTCAATGACATTTGGCAGTCTCAAGCCCGGTGATCTGAAGAAATGAATGGAGGGGAAGTAGCTGATTTTCGGTAAATTCAACAAATCTTGAAGATTTATCTTTTCAAGAGAAAGTTTACAATTGAATGGCAACAGTATTGATAGACCTGGAATGTTGAACCAATAAGAGTAACTACTTTTCAATGTTTTTCCAACATGGTTACAGTAAGAGAGTTTGCACAATGGGGAACTTTAGGGTACAATTTCTTCATTATTAGCCTTCTTTAATTCTATATACCATATACCATATATTTTCTATTATACAATATTTTTTACACCTCTTATACCATAAATTTTGCCCCCTCTTATACAATATACAATAAAATTTCACCCTCTTATACGATATACAATATCCCTATACACCCCCCCCCCCCCCATTTTCACTCTCTTATAATGCTTTATAAGTAAAGTTAACATTTTGGGTCACAGTGATCCCGTTGTACCAAGCTATAGTTCAAAAAATTAGTATTGCCTCGAGCCAATAACCCAATATATTTTATTATTATAAAACCCAATGTGTGTTTGATATACAGTTGCAAGTTCACATTGTTCAGCTGTTCTTTTCAAAAGTAAACTGCCTTTATCTGATGAAAATTGCTGTTATTAATAAATGTTCAATTACCACATTATTAATGATTTATTGGAATTGGGAGTCAAGCCTTTATGGTTAATTGGATTATTCCAAAGAATATACCTACATTCTAGGGTAGCCAGGATGAGCTTTTTAACAACCTTTGAGAAATATTCCTCTTGCAATGACGAGTTTTAAATTAATTGTATAACTTTAATTGATTTTTAATCTTAAACCATCAATTTTTGATTCATTTGTGAAAAATCTCATTACATAAGGGTTATCATCTTGTTCTTCTATTTCCATTCAATGTCACTGCTACATATTCCTATATATTGAAAACCAGAATTTTGGATAGTACTTGATGGGGCCTATAAAAAGCCACCAAGACGTGAAATCACTTTCCTTGGTAATAATATGAAGCCCAGTTTATTAGGTCACCTAGCATCTCATAAGGCTTACTTAAGCTAACACTAACTTATATCTTTGATTTGGGACCAAAATTGTCAAAGCTGAACCCCCATAGAATTTTTTGAAAACTGCATAAATATGAAAATTGAACCACTAAAACTAGTAATATTTAAATTAAAGGAAACTTTCTACTATACCCGCCATGCTATCTGACCCGAATGAGCCACCTGGTGGTGAAAATAGTAACTACCTACTCGCATCTGAGTTATTGATTGAGCTACTTTTCCATGGCCTCACATGAATTCACATGAACCAACCAGCTAATACACGGGATACTAGAGTATCCGCGTATATTGAGTATGACCGGTTCTAAGCTTACGAGTGTGACCGTATTTCTGTTCCTATAAACAGACGAGGTGAGTACTTGCTTTTTATGAACACTTTCGAACGTTTTCTTTTTATCCTACTTGGTCAATGAATGATACTTGGTATACTTATAATGCCAGGCATATCACAAGGGGCCTTAATCAAGAGAAAACGTATTAGTATTAGATTGAAGCCGTAAAATCCTAGTTTCCAGCATCTTTGATCAGTTTTTGTGTAACACAACGCAACTCCGAAGAGGATGACATTAGTCATGAATATTTTAAATAATTTAGCCTGTCCTGTCCAAATATGATACATCTTTGAATTTTTGAGAATACGATTGTCACTGGTGCCCCATTATTGGAGAATACGATTGTGAAACAATCAGTGGGCCGTGTTACACTCGTTTCCATGACATTTCACAAGCGTATCCTCTAGGAAAAGATAAATCCTTCTCTTGCTCACTCTACAGGGGATCATATAAACTGAGATTTGGAGATCTTGTTCAGGTTAGCCATAAAAAGGTTTGGGATTTGTTTTTTTCTACTGTGATATTAATGATTTGGCTCTAAGGCGAGAAATTTGTACTTTCTGATTGATATTCCATTATGAACAGTTACATTGCTAAAATAGCTCATGTTTAACAGTTTTGTTACATTACTATTAAATACAGCATAAACTATATTCAACAAACACAATTTCAAAAAGGATAATATAGAAGTTAACCTTTATTTTCCATTTTTAAGCAGCTGTGCCTCTCATGACTTTCCAAAACAGGTCATATTCGTAGCCTAAGAACCGGTCATACTCAATATACGCGGATACTCTAGTTACCCGTGTAATAGGAAGAAAGATTACTTGTACAGGCAACTTGCCATTGCTGTAAATTGATTTTGCTTCCTTGTTCACTATGATGATTTGATAATGACAAATTGATTCTATTTAAGTACTTATAACTGTTTCAAGGTTAAATCAGATAGAGCACAATCTTATTCAGTATATATTTTGTAACTTACGATATATTTTCTAGAAATAGCAAACTTCATACTTCATACACCCACTGCCCCCTCCCCTAGTATTTCTGTCAACAATCATTAAAGGGGTTAAGTTACACATATTTGGAAGACTTTAATGTGTAATCATCTTGTTATGTTTGCAAAATTTCTTTACCATGAAAATAGCACTCTAAAACTGTAGTATGACCATATTCAAAGAAATTTTTTATGAAAAAAATATTTCGATATCTCCCCACCCCCATGGGATTTGGTGAGAGGGGGTACTTACTTTTTGATCATTCTAGTGGACCATAAAAATGGCTCTGGCTCTTAAATCAAAGGGAATGGTATTCTGATGATATGTGGAAAGTTTCACGCTTCGTTCCATGAATGAACTATTTTTGCACTATTGATTTCACTATACCAGATAAAATCTTGGTAGTATACACACATCTCACATTTATCTTCCTAACCCCAAGGAACTGTGTAATGAGGCTGAAAATAGTTAAAAAGCATATAGATATTTTAAGGTGTAATAGATTTTGTTAAATTATATGGATGTTTATTTTCAGGTTGAGAGGTAGAAATACACTAACATGGCCTTACATTGGACTCAGATAAATGTGGTATTCTTAGTCATATCCCAAGTTTTATTGCAAGGATTCTTTATATCAAGTCCTGGAAGTAAGTATTGAATTCTTCAAAGTGCACATTCTTATATGTTTTTTTTGCTAAATGGTTCATTGCTATCTCTCCCTTGTCTCTATTGGTGATTGACCATCTGTCCTTAGATCAGTTTATATTCTACTTGTATCTAACTATTTCATTCCTTGATTTCATTAATGTTCATTCATCTGTCCCTGTCTGTCATACAAACACACTTACTAGTATAAGTGTACTGATTTTCTTCATATTTTGTGCAAAGATGTATACTGGTAAATGGTTGGACGCAAACATTTTTTTTAAAAGAATGGCTGTCAAATAAAAAATGGGGAGAATCTTTTGCAAACCTTCATATTCTATCTAGTGCCATTTTTCTGGGCATTGCTTAAAATGCTTATTTGATGGGGTGATCTTGTTCACTTTGTGTTTTGCTCACTTTTTATAACTATAGTTTGATACTTTGATTTTGAAGGATTACACTCTTAACAAATTGTTCATTCTTGTCTTTTCAGAAGTAACACCAATGAATCCTCTAGTTGAGCTTGGAAGTTATATTGAACTAAACTGTACATTGACGGGGGATGTTGCCCCCTTCAACTCAAGCCACCTCTATTTTCAAGCTGGCTCCAAAGTAATCTCATCAGAATTCTATACGATCCTGTCTCCTACTATAATGACATACAAAGAGAATATGACAGGACAATACACTGGGAGGTACCCATTTTATTGTTACCTGAACCAAAGCACCAGTGAGGAAAATATGAAACCAAGACTGATTGGATCTCAGGTGGCTACAATAGGAAGTATGACAACAATTTTTACTCTATCTTCTACAATTTTTGTAAAACCTCTACACTGTAATGTTATAGGTTGTTTGTTAACATCTTGCATGTTTTATTTTATCTGTAGTTGGAAAGTTGGAAGACTAGATTCATTGGTTTTTGCAGGGTGAGCCAATAAAGATGGCCCCTTTAGTAATAATAATTATAAATTATTAAATTAAAAAGGATTGGTATCGATATGGAGAACTGAATTCAACAATGTTTTTCTCTTAAACCAATCATTGAAAACATTTTGTAAAAAAACACAGTATTTTATGTAATGTTGACTGATTGACAGCTTTGTATAAAAAACCTCCTACCTCATACCACGGACTTTAAGTCTTTGAAGGGTTCAATTTTAAAGATCTTAGTTTATTAAATCTTATTTAATGATGGATTATAGATGCATTTGTAACAACCCTTGATAGCAAGTTGCTACTACAGCCCAGTAAGTTTCGATTTTCACTCGGGGCATCGAATTTAGTACACTTTCTTTCAATTTCTTTATCTGGCTTGTTGGACCTATGCTCAGTCGTTAGTTAGTTATTCCCCTGGGGCACCCTTGGGTCATTACACACTAAATGTACCCATATGCCTTTATTTATGGATCTGCCATCTGTCTAGTCATAAAATAAAGCCGGAATTGTAGAAATGTTAATAATTTGAGCTATTTTGATATTTAATAATCTTTAAAATTGAACCCTTCAATGACTGTATCATGTCCCACGTAGGTGGGTAGGTGGGTATGAGGTAGGAGGTTTTTTATAAAAAGCCCTGATTGACAATTTGATGCGAAATTTTTTTGATTGCTAGAGTATTGATACCTGCGATTGAACTTTGTGTCATGAGATAAACAGTCACTTTAGTCTTCAACTTTATGTTTAGCTTTTATTCAAAATGCTATATATTGGAATAATGAGAATTTTAAACTGCAAAAGCTTGGTTTAAATATTAAACCTGATTAGAGTGTTCAGCAGAAACCTTTTTATTTGCATGTACTAAAGGAAGTACTTGTACTTGTAGACTCAAATAAATGATAAGACATAATGTAATTTCCTTTAACATGGTCCTCTCGTTCAAAAATATTTTTCATTGGCAAACATATTATTTGAGCAGTCTTTACCATTTTGAGCATATTTTAAGTGATTTTGGGCCAACATTGTCAAACTGCCTGGATTTTTGTCAAAAATCAAACTCCTGAGGCAAAAGCTGGCTATGGCATGATAGTATTCTGAACAACCTAGAGGAATTATCTTGAACCTGTGTCATTCCTTCATAATAGTCATAGTTCATAATAGTTCATAGTCAAATACCTAATAATTGAACTATGCTGAAGGGCTGTTCTAATATTACCACATGGAATCTTTGATATACCAGTACTTCAGAATAAAATGATTCTTATCTTATTCACTTCAATGTCAGAATGTACATGTAGTTTAAAAGTGTTTTATCTGTATTTCAAATTATACTTGTTGTTCTTAGAAGAACATGAAGAAATCTCTCATTGTGTAAAGTAGTAAAGGGCAGTATATTATTTGCATTTTAAAATATATATAACTTTTCTCAAGTGAATTGAACCTAGTGATAATTACCTTTAAACCTGATGAGACATTATTTCTGTGAAGGATTGAACATTTCTTGTAATTTACGTTATTGTGTGGTTGTATATATACTCAAGTTACTTGAATAGACTTTTATTTTTTTGATCAAAATTCTAATTAGAAATATAAAAGAAGTAAATGAATGAAATGTAGCTAACTTTCAGACTTTGTTCTGTTAAAATTTTTCTTGCAATTTTTGATAAAAGCATCTGATGCTGTGCAAAGGCATCTGAAGAGACCCCTTTTATAGTAATCTTATACAATGGTAGCAATACAAGTGCGTTAAAAAGATGTCACATTTATCCAACTTCATCCAGGAACTATGTAGTACCATTGATGGTTTCAGTTTCTTTTTGTGATCATTCAATTTGAGCATTTTTGTTCTTATGACATCTTTTAATCTATAAGCATCTGATAGAATATACAGGCACTGTACAGTTTTTTCATTGCCTTACAACAGATTCTTTGTAAAAGTGATATTTTACATATATATGCATATCACTCTATGAAAGGCACCACATTATATTATTGCCTTATCTTTTCCAGGGAAACCAGTGAAACCAACACATTTTCGTGCTAGGTTTAATAACTGGAATGATGGACATGTCTCTTGGGAACCTGAACAGAAGAATGCTACCTTCCTGCATACAACAACCAATGTTTCATACAGCTTTTTGTAAGTGCATTTTGTGCCATAATCCTCAGGTCTGTGTATAGCTCTCTGTAAGTAACTTTCATTTTCACACTACCCTACCACGTGACCACGTTTAAAAGGGAGACAGGGTACAGCTAAGTTGCAAATGGAGGACGTGGGTTTAATTCCATATTTCTGAACGTAAAATACATTTTACATTTATTTTTAGTGTTCTACCAGACATAGAATTAATTCATCAAGCAGTTTGTAGAATATTGTTGGCAAAAAACCACTATAGGCAAAGATAGATAATAGTGGGCGCAGTGAAGCAAAACTTAATGCAATACACGATACATTTCAGTAAATCTGTCAACGTACAGGGAGCATGTAAGTTTCCCTTCGAAAATGTTACATTGATAGTAGATAGAAAACTGAGGGCATCAGAACGCCACGGGCCGCCACGGGCCCGGGGCTTTCAAAATCTCTGAAGATGAGCAGGAGATATTGATGAGCAGGAGATAAATTAATTGAATGGGGATTAGGAGATAAATTAATTGGATGGGGCTTTCATCTTAAATGGGTGAGAGATAAGATACGCATGACATCATTGTTATCTTAAATGGGTGAGAGATAAGATGCGCATGACATCATTGTTATCTAAATGGGTGAGGACTGAATTTTAAAATGGAAGCATAACAAATCAATAACACAACATTTTTGTTTGATATAGACATTATATCCAATCTTAAATTTATTTTACAATTTTCTTTACAATTGATGTAATATTAACATTTTTAAGGTAGAAATGATAGATTCTACTACAAAATCCATGTTATTAGACACACTGAAAGTGTTTACAATTTCATCTAAACTATACCCTAAAGTTCTCAATAATATATACATGATACAATATTGTCCACAATTTGAACTGTTCAAACCTTGAACACGAATGGGATTTACAAACATTGCATCTCCATATTCTTTTAATCCATAAAATGTTTCTGTATGACCTAAGGGGTCAAAAAATTCAATTTGTGAATCTCTATAATAACATACCCAATGTTGCCCCATTTCATAGTGAGGTCTAGTATTTGCTATAAAACATTTTTTATCCATGATAATAGATGGTAATTGATCACTTGCAAATACTCCTAGAAATCTATGCTTAGTATCTGGATGATTTGATAAAATAAAACTTATATCTTGTGAATTCATATTAGTACTGAATAATATTGCGGGATGCGTCAACCTCAAATTTTCCCGGAAATGTTGCCATTAAAATAATGTTTAATGATTCAGGTGTTGCCTCAGAAAAATGAATGTCAAGTTTTACATTTCCCTTTTTAAACAATGGAAGAATTTCACCATTTGAATATGTGTCTTTATAGCCTATATCAAACTTAAAGATACAAAAACCAGATTTAAAATCATCTATGCTTATATTTAACCCATCATTGTGTTCAAGATCTGAAAACAATTGTGTAAACTCATGAACATATTTGTCTTGTGAATCATTTGAGCCAAACTTAGGTTGAAATGCTCTAAATGGAGTAGGGACATTATCTACTGAAATTTCAACATATGAAGTGTTTGCATGAATGAAATTGTAAGGATTAAGTTTATAGTTTCCTTGATATGCTGCATTTTTCACAATGACACAATACAATCGTGTAGGTACACGTCCTTGAAATAAATCATCTTGATTAAAAGAATATATATTACTAGGTAATGAGAGTACTTTCATTTCATTTCTATCATAAGTATATACAGCATTTCTCTCCTGTAATTCAGTATTATATGCTTGTAAAATACCATTTGAAACTGTAATCATTGGAACTTCTAAATGTACATCTAAAAGTTTGACTTTATATTGTTCATTTGAATCAGTCATAAGTCTAAAACTGTTTTTTGTATGATTTAGTTTTATCTTCACTTCAACACCATTAATGAGGTATTTGTTGATGCTGAAGATATCTTCATGGAATTTACATTCCATATCAACTACTTTTCCACCTTGAGTTTTCACAAATCTTTGTGTTAGTCCCATGTTGTTAGAGCCTTGTCCCAGAGGTTTTGTTGCATCCATTCCATTAGGTGGATATATCCCATTGTCCATATAAAACAGACATGCCGTACCTTCAGATTCTAATTTTCCTTTACTAGATGTTAACAATGTTTTCAACATACTTTTATAAGGATAGTTTAAGACAGATGATGCCATGTTATTTTGTTGTAATGATATCTCAACCTCACTCCATAAAGAATGAATCCAATTATTTATTGGTCCATATGAATCATAATCTGTCAAATCCACATATTTCGGTAATGAATTATCTGCTTTCAATACCTGCGCTTTGACAGATAGCTTTACATTTTGAAGATCTATAAACTGTGAAGTGTTGTTTGGTAAGATGAACTCTATTGGAGACTCACTGTCTATTGGATTGATAGGTCTGTACTCAACATAGTTCCTTCTAACAACACTACTTTCTGTTGGAGGTGTGTTAAATAACTGTAATTTCCCATTCATTACATCAGCACTGTTCATGAGTTTATATGCCATTTTTAATTATTTGAGTTGAATTTACTTTTTTCTTTTCTGTGATGTCTTTGTTGACCTACGTTTGTATTCCTGTGGAGATTTCTTATTGACTGAAGACTTACTATTGCGTTTGCTTTTATATACACGTTTTTTCTTTCTAATTGTATCACGTGACTCGTTTGACTCGTGTGACTCGTTTGAGTGCTGTCTCTTAAGTGTAGCTTTTGCTCTCTCAACGACAGCTTGCATTGGAGATATTATTTGTTTCGGTTCATCTTTAATATCATCTTCACTTATCCAACCTCTTCCTGTTTGAGATACTTTCAATCTATTCTGTCTACCAGCTCTAATAAGTTTCAACCAGTGTTCTGGTCTGTCTACATATGGTACTAATTTCATGATACTTGTTTCAAATGAAGTGTACACGTCAAAGGTTTGTCTTTAAATGACACAAGTGTGTTACCATTTCCTCTTATATAGACATGTATGCGATCAAACTCCCAATTCCCGACATCCTTGTATAATACTTGATTAAAACTCAACCAAGAATAATCCTTTGGAATACGCCTTAAGATTGGTTGTACATTTCCATCAACAACACTTTCTATGCATAAATCACAAAACACATCTAAATACAATAATGCATCATTTGAATCCAATGGTGGTAACTGTATGTCAACAAGTCCTATTTTCCATTTTCCTTTAAGATAAAAGTATCTTGGTAACTTTACAGTAAACTCTGATGCTGTATTATTGGGATAAATATTGGTTGAATCAGTGCTACTTAAATAAAAATAGATGTCTTTATCCATTGTTTAAACTGATGTACTAAAGTCTGTGTCACTATTTGATTTTTGTATTATCTCATATAACTTTGCAAACTTTGTTATATTATAGTTCTCATGCTTTTGTTTTTTCAGATAATAAAACATCAATATCATAAATGAAACACTTGTAGATCCAATTGCTAAATTACTAATTGATATTTCTTCAATTGCTAATATATTTGAAGGTGTTGAAGCACTTATTCGTGCTAATGATGTTGCATTTTCTTCTGCCAAGAGCACTTTAAAAATATGTACTAATATACAGTAGAACCTCACACTTTGATACTTCATTGCTAAATAACAAAAATGAGATGTACTTCAACATTTATATAAATATCAACATAACATAAAATAATGTTTTTCTATTTATTTTAAGTATAATATACAATATTAAAAGGTTTTGATATCCGTAGCTTTAACCCAAGAATCAAATTTCTTAGGCCAATATTTCATGTACCAAGTATTCTTTTTGACCTTGTTTTGTGCGTTGTTTTAAAACTTTTTCTATTTTATATAGATTGTCTTCATCAATATGCACACGTTGAAGCTCAGGTTGATAAAATGTTCCTTTAATCTCTTCACCTTCAAAATCTTTCAAGCGATATAGAGGTAGACCTTGTCTGATGAATCGAGCAGATATTTTGAAAATCTCTCCAGTCCAATGTTGATCATATTCTCTGGTAAAAACATGCCTTGCTTGTGTAATTCTAACTTGAGCTCCAATAGGGAATTTGAAAATTTGCTTGGATTTGGTTTGACTTTTTATTATTGATTTAGGATAATACATACGCCACCAAATATTAAGCTCATCATCTTTAGAGACATCTTGGGGTGCTTTTTTAATACTTCTATGATGTGTAGCATTATAGCTTTTGACAAAGTCCTGTAAATTATCAATATATCTAAGATTTTGTTTATATGTGATGTATCTCATTATTTTCGTCTTCAATGTCTTAATAAAACGTTCAGAGTAATTTGCCTTGGAAGTATTACGCGTAACAAAATGACGCACTCCCCATCTGCGTAACAATGTCTGTACACGTTTTGCACGGAATTCTTGACCAGCATCACTACGTATTACATCTGGTACTCTCCCTTCTTTAAAGATATCATCAAATGCATCTGCTACAGCTTGTCCAGTTTTATTCTTAAGTGGTCTGACAAATGCAAAACGGGACATGATATCAATGACAACTAAAATAAAACGTATCCCATCATTCTCCGATGACATATTAGAGACATCCATTAAATCAGCATCCCATTGTTGATCAATGTAAGACACATACACTTTGTTACGCCGAAACCGTCTTCTATATGGTCTTTGTAGACTATAAGCTTCCTGACTATCCAACCATTTTTTGACTTGGTAGTATGATACATCAAATCCAACTTTTTGTAAAGTTCTATGTAATTTTTTAGGTCCACTAAAACTTGCTGGTTTAGAAGTATCATAATAATTCTTTTCTACATATTTTTCCATCTTTGCTCATAGACGTATATTTTAATAATGTCCCAGGTATTGAAATTATACATATATATATATATCAACTGCTACTTTCAGAATTGCTTTCATCATAATCATTAGATTGTTCTTCATCAGTAAATTCTTCATTAGCATTGCTTTCATCATAATTATCAGACTTTTCTTCATCAGTAGATTCTTCATCTGAATTGTCTTCTTCATCTGTATCTATAAATAGCTCACTAAACTTATGTTCATTTTTCACAAGTATCTTTCTGATTGCAAGATCTCTAGAGACACCTCTCATTAACATATCATTTACTTCATCTACAATATTTCTATGTAATACATTGTCTGCTAAACCAAATACTTGTTTTAAGACCTTCTTATAGTGCTTCATGAATATTTCCTTATCCATTTGTACAAGTTTCTTCTCAGCCTTTTCTATAGCCTCCTTTTCATTGTTTCCCCTATCTATATACTCCTTTACTTTATGATCATAATCCTTTTCATTATCATTTCTAGCCAGGTTCTTTAAATATACAAATGTTTCATTTAATCTGAGATCATCATCTTCTTCTTTATTTGTTTGTGCATTGGTTTCAATCTTCATTTTCTTGGTCGGATGACCTTGACACCAATTTTTAACATGATGTTGTAAATCATGAATACTCTCAAAGACTAAACCACAGTCATCACATGAGACCATATCGTCACATCCACAATGAGAGGAATAAGGTGACGTTCCAGTTTTTATATCATACATACTTGTACCCTCTGCATTTATTTGAGGTGTTTCTGGTACCGCATGATTAGGTATATTTCCATTACTTTCAAGTTGTTGTGATTGTATTCCTCTGTTCAGACTTTGTTTTGATAATGGTTTTTGAAGCATTATATTTGAAGTTGTGGAAGGATTATACAATCTCATACTTTCAGGAGTTTCTTGCTTGAGGTCTACTAACAAGTAGCTGAAAGGTTGATGTGTAGCCTTTTCATATGCATCCAATAACTTGTGAGACTTCCCAGGATACATTTGATGAGCCAAAACAGATATTTGTTGCCTATCTCTTGGGTTCTTATACAACACAATGTAGTGGGAATTTAAACTGAGAGTCCGACTTTCTCTACCACATGGGAACAAATTCTGCATCAAGCAAATGACACTTAGATTTCTATGATGTGATCCACGTGTATACAAATCAGCAATCCTTGTATCTTTTGATATATCACTCATTAAATCATCAAAGATCACCAAGTTCCTCTGATTCACATCTAAAAAATCTGGGTTACTCAATTCGTCTGGTATTCCCATCATAAACTCAATATTTGAGTTGATTGTCTTGATGTTGTCATAAAGAGGTTGCCATTGACTGTAACACCATATGATTTTTTGCGGTGTTGGAGATATTGTAGTATCAGCATGGTCAATCAGTTCCTTTATATATGTAGATTTTCCAGAACCTGTCGGTCCAACCACCATCATAGTAAATGGATGGTAGAGCACTTTTGATTTTGTTGATGTCATAGCTGGAATTGTTGAATAAATTCCCATGTCATGTTGTCTATTAGGTGAGTTTATGATGCTTTTCTGCAATGCATGGTCTATTCTTTTATGACGATACATACTGGTTGCATGACTAAATGTCTTTCCACACTCACAGGAATAAGAAGAAATTTTAGACATGTTGACTCGTCTAATGATAACAGTTAAATGATAGTATGTTTTAAGTGTCGTTGTTAAATAATCAAACCATGATTTAAATTTAGATAAATGTTGATGTAATACATAAGTGAACATTTGTGAACATCAGTGAACATTTGTGAACAATACTAGTGAACATCAGTGAACATTTGTGAACATCAGTGAACCTTTGTGAACATTACTAGTGAACATTTGTGAACATTTATGAACAATACTAGTGAACATTTGTGAACAATACTAGTGAACATTTGTGAACTATAATAGTGAACATTTGTGAACATCAGTGAGCATTTGTGAACATTTGTGAACATCAGTGAACATTTGTGAACAATACTAGTGAACATTTGTGAACATTACTAGTGAACATTTGTGAACATTACTAGTGAACATTTGTGAACATTACTAGTGAACATTTGTGAACATTTATGAACAATACTAGTGAACATTTGTGAACAATACTAGTGAACATTTGTGAACATCAGTGAACATTTGTGAACAATACTAGTGAACATTTGTGAATAAAACTAGTGAACATTTGTGAACATCAGTGAACATTTGTGAACAATACTAGATAACATTTGTGAACATCAGTGGACATTTGTGAACAATACTAGTGAACATTTGTGAACAATACTAGTGAACATTTGTGAACAATACTAGTGAACATTTGTGAACATCAGTGAACATTTGTGAACAATACTTGTGAACATCAGTGAATATTTGTACATGATAATTAAAGTATTCGACCATGTCACAATGCTAAATTCTCTCAATTTCTACTAAATTATTTACCCTCAATTTCAATGAAATTATTTACATAAAATACAATTCGCTCAATTTCTACGAAATTATTTACATAAAATACAATTCATATATAACAACTTATCAAAGAAATTGGAACATATATGATCCTACTGCATTTAGATGTTGTGTTATTGAATATCATGTACAGAATATGATACAAATATTTAGGACTTACCTTAAACAAGCATACAGATATGTCTAAATCACCAGTTGTTTACTACCATGTTCATAAATGGTCCACACACTTTTTGGAGATTTTTATATGGTAAAAATGATGTCAAATTCTATTTTAGGGCATGATGTCATGTATTTTTTAAGAAACTTAGGTCATAAAATGATGATATCATATACTCTAGATCATTCTAGAAAAAAGGATTAACACATTAAACAAAAGATGTTCTAGAATATGAAGGATTAACATTGTGATCACACAGTTAAATGTCAACATTCAATTATTACATTAAAAGACCATTATTGTTGAAATCAAGTAGAGTAAGATCAAATGGTCAATTCAATATAGAACTTAAATAAATAAACCTTTTCAACGGTCAATTCAATATAGGACTTAAATAAATAAACCTTTTCATCTGTACTCATATTTAATCCAAAATCCAGTTCTCTTTCCTTTTATGCCAACAGTATTTGTTTGACCAGCTCAATAGGATTATTGATTCTTTTCAATGTTGGGTTAATATTGAAAGTAGAATTGTAAACACTGTTAATGGATTATACCAAATTTAAAATAATATTAAAGGGATTTATTTTGTACTTTAATATTCAGTCCAAGAAATACATTTCTCACCCATTTAAGATAACAATGATGTCATGCGCATCTTATCTCTCACCCATTTAAGATAACAATGATGTCATGCGTATCTTATCTCTCACCCATTTAAGATGAAAGCCCCATCCAATTAATTTATCTCCTAATCCCCATTCAATTAATTTATCTCCTGCTCATCAATATCTCCTGCTCATCTTCAGAGATTTTGAAAGCCCCGGGCCCGTGGCGGCCCGTGGCGTTCTGATGCCCTCAGTTTTCTATCTACTATTGATATGTAACAAAACCCCAGTAAACTGTTATTTAAACTGCTTGTCATCGTGTTATATGTGGATACGTTTTCCAGTATGTTATTCAACTGTACTTTTGTGAATTAATTGTCTTTCTAAAATCTTAAGATGCAAAATAGTTGTCCCAGAAATGTATCTTTACTTTGCCGTAAGGCATAACATATTGTGAAACATTTTTCCTCTTGTCACAAGGAGGATAATGTTTGTTTCGAGGTGTCTTGTGATGAGCGTTTCATGATTAAATGTAAAATCACTGGAGCAGATACCATCCAAAAACATCTGACATTCAACACGTCATATAAGACTACATCGATCTGGTATTAGTTTTTTTACAATAATAGAGAAATACGACGTCATATCACCTCTACAGCAAATCGTGAAGAACAAAATGTCGTGGCATGATGGTATTTTGAACAAACTATTTTAAATGATCGGTTTTTGAGGACATTAATCCTGATAGCCAATAGTCATTTATCACTTACGTATTTATATTTAATTTCGTTATTTTATTTCAATTTGATACCCTGGTAACACGTATAATCTAGCGTTCTTGTTAATTTAATGACTAAAATGCATTTACGACCTGAAAGCCCATGTCTAAATCTACTAAATAATGTTTACTTTATTTGGATTAAATAACAATTGATGACACCTCAAAGCATCAACAGGCGGCCTTTTTAGTATTATTTTCACTGTTTGCAACGTAAATATACATGAGATCGGGACATAGTATGTCAGTATAATCAGCTTACTTTCTCGCTCCCTGTACTATTGAACAATTTACATTCATTGTACCCTGTATTGATCAACTTTTGCAGCTGTGTACCGTGTACTATGACATATCAAATATTTTAAAATTTAAAACGATATTATTTACAGTATTTCTTCAACTATCATATAACTTGGAACATGGACTTCACTATTGCACCACTGAAGTTCAGCGAATAGCAATATTGACTCACTCCGAGCACCAAACGTATTAACCTTTTCACTAAGCAGTCGATATACTCAAAAGCGACCTGATTGAAAGCCCAAAAATTCGCGCATGCGCTATACCTTTCCATAAAGTCACGTCATGAATATTCATAAGGCCGCTGAATACAGCAGTGACGTCACTCGCGGAGTCTTGTCCTGCATAGTACAGCGGGAAAATCAAAATCTGAAAGTACGTGACAGACTTACCTTTTTCAGTGCCGGTTTCAGTGTCACTTATATTCTGATCATGGTAAGTTTTCTTTATATTCTATGAATAATCAAACTCCCATGTACCAATGTCATTTAATAGGTATATTCCAACTAAATATTCAAACAGAGTTCTCATTTATATGTCCATATATACCGGCAATTCTCAAAAATGTTAATTTGCTCATAAGACCCCTTATAACAGATCCGAATATCCTGCATATCATGCAGAGATTGTGCAATGTTTATTGTAATATTTTGAAATACAATTCCATTTTGTCTAGTTGTCGTACGTTTTTACAAGTATTATTAAAAGCTGTGATTAATAATAAGCTCAAATACTATCTACAATTTGACAGTTATGCATGTTTATTGATCATCCCAAAGCCATCTTCATCCTAGCCAAAGCCTATGAGTTTACGGGGTCTTCGCTATTACTCATAAACCTACTACTGTAAATCTTACTATTTTTATTGAACCATATTTTATCAATGAATATGATGATCCGTTTATTATGGCTCCGGCATCTAGTTTTATTTTTCTTTGCCCAAACCGAAAACATCTACTGTAAATCGTGTTTATGTTTGTTGGATTTTTATCAATGAATATAAACGATGAAAAATGATTTATTTTTTCAACAACAATTTGACAAAGATGATGCGGCTATGGCAGATAAAGGGTTTCTCATCAAAGACTTATTAGACCCAATGGGAGTGAGGCTAAATATCCCTCCATTCCTAGGCATGGAAGAACAGATGTCGGCATCAGACGTCAGAGAAACACAGCAAATTGCAGCTGAACGCATACATATTGAACGCAGCATACTTAGTAAACAAGGTCAAAGGCAATCATATATTTGATCGCCCCATTCAGTTAACATTGTTTGGTTCGATTAACCAAATATGGACTAACGCAGCCATGTTGTCACTTTTTCAGCCACCAATTATCTCCCAAAGTGATGTTACATTAGTATCAGCTGATGAGTGTGACTCGGCATATGACTCAGGTCGTGTAAAAATACAAAGTGAAATGTTAAAGTGCCCGATAAAGTATAAAATGCGCATGCGTCCAGGTGTTGATAAACTATAAATAGCGAAAACCCAGGGTTTGTCACCACAAGGTAAGCCAGGACGTGTTGAGAGAGCAGCTAGTGTTGATATTGAATTTATATGTAGCCAGATAAGTTTCCTTATTGAAATTACATATGGTTATTAGCAATACTTTGTAGGTGCTAAATAATAAAATATTTAGAGTATATATGAGAGAAATTGGTCATTTCGAACCTGTTGAAAAGTTTGTGGCTCTCGGCTACACCGGGGAATTTACTTCCATGAGTACACACATAAATGTGGGGTTCCCCAAGAGGTACGCGACAAGGTGACCTGGCATCAAATGTGCAACTAAATGCTACTATCGAGAAGATAAAATAACGAATACGACAATAAGTTATTGCATGTGACAATTCCGAGCCTTCATCTCACTGAAGTATTTTGAAGTGAAAATAGGATTTTTGTTTTCATACATGGATTCAGATGAACGTAACTTTATTCTGACAACTAATCAAAACTGAACAAAATTGATTGTACGTAACAGACAATTTATTGTTTTACAATGTTTTGATTGGCTAAACGAATGAAACCAACAAATTATGACATGTAAAATGACAATTTTGAAATGTAAAATTTAAAAGTGACAAACACAACCTCCCTATCCACTCTTTGGGAGCCCTAGTAAATTAGTAATATGTACATGCAGCAGTGGTAGTGTGCAGCTTATTATCACACTACGCTTTGTATTCTAAAGCCTGTTGTTTGTAATAACACTGTTCACTCAACGTATGTTTTGTGTGTGGGCAGTCAACGATAATCATTGTTTTATCCCAGTTATATGACCTCGGCAGTTATAACAAAACCGTACTAAACGAAAAAACGCAAATAAGAGAAAGCTTTCACACACATATAAAAAATGAACTAGTCTAATCCGCCAGTATAAACTCTGTGCTATACGTAGCCGGGTCAGGCGCACACTTTAATGTACAATCCATTTGGTAAAGTAATTTTATTTACATCAACTCTCTATGATAGCTGACACTGACAGCATATTTTGGAGTGTATTGTGCACTCTTCACTAACTTAAAGATGCACTATACTATAGGTTCTCCCTCAGACAATCGATGATGACCCATTATTATTGCTCATATAATATCTTGCATACTATGGATCTTGTGAATAACTTTTTGGTATATTATTGCCGATACTAGTATATTGAAATAATCAACAGAACAACCAACCTTCAGAATAAAACACAAGTTAATTCCGCAGCTAGCAAGGGGAATCCCCGTTGAGTCGTACATGCCCCTTGAACCAGACAGCCAATCAGATTCATGATAAACAAATTTAACGACCAATCAGATAACAGGAGAATTTTCCCGGTATATTCAAACTTCAGACTGAATTAATTTCATTGAAAATAATTAGATCGGCCAGCAAAATCGAAAAATTAACACTGAAAGCGGAGGATTTGGGACTTCTTCCTTAGTAAGTCAGGTGAATATGTGGTGAAACTCAATATGCAAAAAGGTCCAGAGGGGTCTTGATTGTGCTTTCCTATAGTATAGAGCCTCTTTAATAACTATGTAATATTTTCAAATACAACCACTCTGACACATAAATATTATATAACAATAACATGTTCTTTATTACTCTGATCAACTATATCATATTGTTCTTACATTTGGGGCATCTGGATTTTTTTGATCTGAGATTAGCATTATTTGGATCGGAGTCTCTAATTATTAATTCACAGTCTGGGATGGTTTGTTTTTTCTTGGTCTGTTGCACTTTAACACGAACCGACGCTAACGTATCCTTGTGGTGAGGTTTTATATTTCGGCACAACAGCCACTTAATACATTCTGTCTTTTTCAGTTTATTGATGGGCCCATCAAATGTGGACCCATCCACATCTGAGGTGGTCAGTTTTTCACAGTCACATACCGTTTGTTCTTTCATAGAATCCTAAAAAACAGATATAAAGCTTTATATTTCTTTGTTTTCAACATCCGTGGAACGATGTTTTATATGACAGATTTATATCCTAATAGGCCTAATGTTGACTGCCACAATAAATGAATTCCAATTAGATCGATAAAAATTTAAAAATTGCTAAAATAAACATTGAGAAAAGTAAAAGGGATTACAGTAAATCTTGTATGTCAGCATGACTTGTTAGCCAGCTTGCCGGTGAACTAAAGTTGAACTTTGAACCCCGCTTTGAACGACAACCTCTAACCTAAATACAACACAAGATGTGCAATATTCTCATTCAAAGATATTGGCTAGTATTTCATGCTGTTTGCTTATGAAAGGTAGTGAAAATACAACAGGAATAGTTGTTTGTTGATGTACACTTCTAGTGTTAAAGGAATTGACAATAATTTTAAAATTACCTCCTGTTCAAGTTGCAATCATTTTTATAGATTACATTGATAGATTTAATATCATTGAATATGGTATTGCTTGTTGAGAACCACACAACATTACCATTTATCATTTATTTGAGATTTAAGCAGGGGTCCATTTTTTAAAGAAATAATCATTTTAAAAGATTTCTTGTAAATAGATAATAAATTAGTGCAAAAAGTATGAATTATTATATATCAAGAGCATAATGTAAAATTTCAACTGAAAAGTTAGATCAAAATGGAATCCAAGTTCACAGTGGGGGGTATACCTCATCAAACACTGTATAATTTTTTTTAAACTTATTGTTACAGCCTTATGTTTTTAATTTGCTTTTGCTAGTTAGGATTATATCATTGACCATTCGTGAATTTTTGTGCACCATACAAGGTTACAGAACTTCATTTATGAACGATTTCAGCAGGGGTCTATTTTACGAAAATTAAATATTTTTCCGGATAGTTCTTAGATGGAAAGCTAGTACATTGTTACGATTAAATTACATCATTAAGGTGTATAAATCATGAAAACAGGTTTCATCCTGATGTCTACAACCTAATTCGTACGAGGCCATGTCACAAATGGGGGGGGGGACATTGGCCTCCACTTGGGGATCTTTATTACTCATATGATTTCAATATTACAATAATGTCGGTATAATTATAAACAGGCACTAAATAAGTGTATCTATAAATACGTTGACAGCAAGAAGATTTATACAACTGAAACTGTAAAACGAGATAATATTTGGGCTCTAAAATCACAATGATTGATATAACTAATCAATTGTTTACTTTTAAGGTTATTATCATATCCTAGCAATCTAAATTGTTTTAAATAGTTATAATTGAATTATTTGCAGTTTCTGAATTTTTCGAATATCTTAAAATGGTTCAGATTTTCATTTATTGAAAATTTAATTCAAGTCTAATTCAAAAAGATGAATATTTTTGTGGATAGTACCCAGATCAATTACTATTATTACCACCTTGCCGGGAGTGTTATAGGGGTATTAGTGCTAGTTTAGAAGGCATTTATGTTACTTTATCGATCTGAGCAATATGTGACGTCATAGTGGCGGGCCATAGTTGCGGGCCAATTATGCATTAACGCCCGGCAATTTTCCCCGGGAAATGACATATCTTTCAATGCATATAATTTTTGCTATTTCAGCTCTGGGCATTAACTGTGGTAATACTAATAACCTAATTTCTGCGGGCAATATTAAACAAATACTGGATGATCAGGAGCTTGATATGGCAGAATACCTATTCGAGAAAAAAATATTGGGCGAGGCGGCATTTATTAATTTCAATATAGAGCGTTTGGGTTCTAGCATTGCCTCATGGGATAGTCTATTTTCTACTAAATAAAATAATCTATTACTAAAGTTATGTGCTTGCAGAGATAGCCTGTATTGCAAAAATCATATATCCTTTCACCCCACATCATATCATATGCTTTATTGATGTTAAAATCTAATTTTATAAATAGCGGGAATAAATTCTTAATTCATCTTAGATTATAATTTAAATGCAAAAGCCGATTCATTAGTAGATAATTCGTTGTAGACTTCAAAAGTGTCAATATCTAATATTTTTCATTATTATGGACCTCTGTTAAACCCCTCAATGATAAGTAAACGATAATGTTGACAGGTCCTCAACGGAAGAAAACGTATGTAGGAATATATGTTTTATCAAATAAACATATCATTTAACAATTGGCGGATCAACGAAAAGCAAGATGATGTTAAAATAAAGTGAAACTTAATGGAACCATTATTTTTTATCATTTTGAATGCAAAATATAGTCAGACAGACGATCTTAGTTTCAATTAAACAGCTAAAATCAATATGTCATACTAATAAACTTTCCAAAAGCCGATAAATGAGTAGATAATCTGTTGTAAACCTCAAAAATATCAAAATCTAATATTTTTGTTGACCCCTGTTAAACCCCTCAATAATAAGGAGATGGTAATGTTGACAGGTCCTCAACAGGTGAAAATGTATATAGGAATATATGTTTTATCATTTAAACATCAAAACAATTGGCGGATCAACAAAAAACAAGATGATGTTAAAAGAAAATGAACTGTAAATGGAATCATTGTTTTTAATCATTTTGAATGCACAATATTATCAGACAGACGATTTTATTTTCAATTAAACAGATAAGATCAATACGTCATACTAATTAGAAAATGGCAACTTCACGGAGTAGCAAATCCCAACGAACACCATATAATTCATCAATCTGTACAGTCACAATGTAATATTTACCATCTACTCTTTCCTTCAATAAATATTTTAGATCATTGTAACCATACTTTAAAGATGACTCTAAGTAATGGCGAATTTCTGCTCTAGTCGGATATTTTGAATTTTCAGAGGCATAAATCCGAAAAACACTGCCATAATTGTGATCTACTCTGAAATTCCTTCAATTTGAGTATAATATAGCCATACTTTTAAGAAATATAATAATTGCAAAATCCCGCATTAGACAGCCATTTTGAATTTTTTGAGGCCCGAATCAGAAAAACGCTACAATATTTGCAATCTACTCTAAATTGCCTTTCATTTGAGTATAATAAAACTACACTTCAAAAACATCTCAAAATTAATGCAAATTTGTGTTTTCCCACCCCCCCCCCCCATTTACGGCACCTGGGGGTCAGGGTGAAATATCCAGGATATATGTGAAATAGATATCGTTAATATACTACCAATATTTCAAATAATAATGTTTCTTATTTTGGTTTAAAATGAAAAACATAAGATTTTTGCGTAAAATTCCTGCCATTTTTAAACTGGCGGCCATCTTGAATTTTTTTTGCGTATTACTATTCACCAATATACATCTTTCCACCAAATATGAAGAAAATCTGTTTACTAGTATTCAGGTTATCTTCCAGACAGATGGACGGATGGACTGACTGACTGACTGACGGACTGACTGACGGACGGAGGGAGGGCTTCACTCTATCCCTACTGAACTTTGTTCGATGGGATAATAAACTTTCCAAAAGCCGATTAATGAGTAGATAATCTGTTGTAAACTTCAAAAATATCAAAATCTAATATTTTTGTTGACCCCTGTTAAACCCCTCAATAATAAGTAAACGGTAATGTTGACAGGTCCTCAACAGGTGAAAATGTATGTAGTAATATATGTTTTATCAATTAAACATATCAAAACAATTGGCGGATCAACAAAAACAAGATGATGTTAAAAGAAAGTGAACTAAATGGAACCATTATTTTTAATCATTTTGAATGTAAAATATAATCAGACAAACAATCTTATTTTCAATTAAACAGAAAAAATCAATAGGTCATGCTAATAAGCTTCCCAAAACCGATTCATAAGTAGAAAATCCGTTGTAAACTTCAAGAATATCAAAATCTAATATTTTTTAATTTTTGTGGACCCCTGTCAAACCCCTCAATAATAAGTAAATGGTAATGTTGACAAGTGCTCAACATGTGAAAACGTATGTAGGAATATATGTTTTATCATTTAAAGATATCAAAACAATTGGCGGATCAACAAAAAACAAGATGATGTTAAAAGAAAGTGAACTTAATGGAACAATTATTTTTAATCATTTTGAATGCAAAATATAATCAGACAGACGATCTTATTTTCAATTAAACAGATAAAATCATGCTAGATAAAAGCATGTCATGCTAATAACCTTCCCAAAATCTGATTCATAAGTAGATAATCCGTTGTAAACTTCAAAAATATCAAAATCTAATATTTTTTAATTTTTGTGGACCCCTGTTAAACACCTCAATAATAAGTAAATGGTAATGTTGACAAGTGCTCAACAAGTGAAAACGTATGCAGGAATATATGTTTCATCATTTGAACTCATCAAAACAATTGCAGGATGAACAGGAGGAAACAGCTTAATTAAGGCTTATCTGAAAAATTCCTTTATCCCTATTCTATCATCAGTAGCCTTAGTCCAACAACATTAGACCTAGCCCGGGCCTCGTTTCTTATCTGACATGTGTTATGGCCCGGCTAGGTCTAACCTCCATGACCATTTTGCCTTTGATGCGTTAATTTAATCGTTCAGCAGGTTTCGACATGCGGAACTAATTGAACCCTGAAAACATGGCAATATTACACAAAGAATGTGATTCAAGCATGCATACATACCTTATAAACACATACACCCCGTCCCGTATCCCCCTTAGACCCTATTGATGCATAATTACGAAAATATTGGAGACAGGTTTGGAATATGACGAAAATGTCGGTCAGTTTCGGTAACATCGAAATTGCAAATCGTTTCAGGAATTAACCGTCATCACGGCACTGCATTAACGAACAGTTGGTTTGCAATTAATAACTATTTTGCGTGTATATACGCGCTATATAAATTAATCAAAGATACCTGTTATCCTCAAAATTGATCTTTTTATCCCGAGTAATCGCGATAATAATTATCAATCTATTTGACAACAATTTCGTTTCGCTGGTAGTTTAATTTTACGATCCGGAACACTCAGACGAACAGACACAATGACTGACATGCGGAAATGTCACTTTAGAGATTGGTAAGTGTAGCCTAATTTTACTCGTATAAATGAACATTTAACACAATAATATTGTGTTAAATCGCTTGATGTTATGTGTTTTTATATTATTGTTAAGTATCAGTTGCACGTTATCGCGGAAAAATGGTTTCGATGGATTCAGTACTTGCATCAAAGGAAAGAATAGTAAGGAGGTTAAACTCAATAATGGCCCCAAGAAAGTTCCTAATAATAAA